ATTGACTTTCCTGTGGTGGCCTGTCATATAGACTTTCCTGTGGTGGCCTGTCATATTGACTTTCCTGTGGTGGCCTATCATATTGACTTTCCTGTGGTGGCCTAACATTTTGACTTTCCTGTGGTGGCCTATCATATTGACTTTCCTGTGGTGGCCTATCATATTGACTTTCTTGTGGTGGCCTGCAAAACTGCAAAAAATAATTAAAAAGATTTCCCCTTGCAGGGTTCGGCAAATGGTCAGAGGAAGAGAAGGACCAGCTGAGTAGAGCGGTGATGCTGGTCACGCAGTCTAAGGAGGACGACGTCATGGACAAGCTAGTCGGTATCCCCTGGCGGAAAGTCTGCAAGATGGTCCCCACCCGCAATATCCACCAGTGCAGAAACCACTGGTGAGAGAATTAAACAGATCTTTTTTTTTTTTAGAAAACCAAAAAGATCAACTCAATTTTTTTCTGTGAACAACAACAGGGCTATCCACTTGAATACACATGCACAAAATGCTTAATGAGATTTTTCTGTCCTCTGTGAATTAATAGTTTGCTTTTGTACTGAAGGCTAGTCATTGTTTTACCTGGCCTGGTAGGCAACAATACCACTATGACATAAAAAAAGCACACTCCGTGAAGATACCTTGGTTTTGTGGGCTGCACATTTTAAAATGCTCTTTTGGTGGTAAAAATGCCAAAATATTTCTTGTCCCGATAAACCCAAGCTGCATCTTTTATGCATCTCTCACATGAGAGGCGGCTGCGACTTCGTACAGATTCAGTTGAAAATTGGTCCTACCCATGCCAAGTTTGCTGGACATGCACATGAGTGCATAAACAGAACACTATCTTTTCGTTTCACATTAACAGAACAGATGTGACATTTGGGTACCAGTCCTTTTTCTGTTTGCCTGAATCTATAAATACAAAAGTTATTATTTTTTTTATTCTTATAATGAAGACCTCATAAGACCTCCAGTCTGAATTTAAGTCACCAGCTTGTCACAACAAGAGCATTGCTTTAACACCTGTCAGCTAATTACTTGCGGCTGGCTTTGTGATGGTCTCCACTACAACACCATTTCCACCCAATACGCAAAGTTGTTTGTTCACTAATTATCTGGCTTTGAACTGTTGATCTGGCTTCCAGGAAGGATAAATTGTGTTGGAGTGTTGGGAACAGAACCAGGCGTCGGTGGACGGATGCAGAATCAGCTGATCTAATCAAAAGGTGAAGTGACATCCATGTTTCTTCAAGCACTGCTTTCCTTCCAGAAACACCCCTTTTTGTTTGGAAAATGTCTATTCCAATGATCCACCATGATTGTTAGCAAAGCAACACGGAAACCAAAACCCAGTAAATGTGCTAGTTGTAAAGCCTGATTGCTGCATTTGCACAAAGAAACTTGGATGCACTGATAACATCGCTGTACAGACCCTGGCAATACACAGTTGTGGTATTATTACTGGTAGATTTTGACGATTTCAAGTGTGTTTCTTTGGGGTTTTGGGGGCAGTGTGTACAACCTTGATGTTAACGAAGAGTCCGACATAGACTGGGTGAAACTGCACAAGGAATTCTGGGAAAGGTAAGTAGAGGTCAACAAACTCCAAGGGGTGGGTCAACCTACATAGGAGTGCGCATTGCTCCATATAGTTGTAGACAGAGTAATATGTTGACTGTTCTTGGCACAGTTTACTGCAAGCTTGGGTCATACGAGGGCAGCACACTATCTGTTGCTAACAATACCCCAGAACAGACAAAAAAATGCAGCCCAAATTGACAAAACAAAGTTGCATAAAGAAGGTCCTTTCAAAGAATGTGGCACTGTGAAGATCAACAGGAAGTCTTGTTTCAACAGCATAATGTCCACCTTTATCAGGATACCAAAAACCAAATTAAGACATTGAAAAATGGGGCCTTGACCACTTGTGGATGGCATTATTTTTGGTAGAAATGTGTGACTTTGAAACAGGGCAAAATATACATGTAGCCTTCATTGTCGATACACAGCCAAATGCAGTAGGGGGATTTCACATTAGCGCTGTCTGCGCACATCGGCACCGTAACTGAGGCTCTCTGTGTTGAACTTCGTTGCGCGCGCCCGCAGAGTCGACACAGTAGATTCAGTATCCGGTTCGTAAGTGTGACTCCACTTCAGTTTAAACCACGCCCACTGCACAAGATACATGGTCATCGCAGGTACGTTAGTTCGCGGAAAATTGCCGTTATTTTTTCTTTTGATTTTACGTGTCGAGTCATCCTAAAAGACTCTTCCACAAAAATTTGCAGTCTGAAAAGTCTGAATTTAACATACCTTTATGTATTTTGTGTCTTGACTCCTTACTTTCAATCGTCTCATTGTATTAAGAATTGAAGCTGACACATATAGGCTCGTTTTTAAATGCGGAAGTGCATAGATTAACGTTAAAAGCGTCGTATTGGGATCCCTCGATAAATACTTTTTTGCCCTTTGAAAACTATTTGTTCGATATTTGTTACTGCAACCTCATATTTTTGAAACACTTTGGCACACCCCCAGAGCAATGTTTGCTGCCACAATAGGCCATGCACAATGGCCAAGTTTAAGTTAAACACATTGTCCACTCCCTCAAAATCCTAGGACTCCGTGTCTGCGTACATAACGTATGAAGGGAGGGGTTAGCATTTGTAAACATCGGTCAGAGGAGAGCCACCTAGATGATGGCCTAACCTGTCAGCCGTGCCTGCATATGTAGATGGCTTGATCAAGTTACATACCCTCCAGCGTGAAGTGGTCAAGACTCGTTTGTGTGGGATCCAGTCATAACCGTGTGCAGGGAAAAAAAATCCTTTCATTAAGTCCGCTTGTGGAGAGAGTATAAGTTGCTGCATTGTCACAATTAAGCGTGTGGCTGGTGTCTTAGAGATGTCTCTTTTGCAATTCCATCAGGGCTCCTTCCCCATCAAAGTTAAGCCAAATGTGGTATATTCTCAAGCTGAGGCACCTGGACAACTATCATTTCATGACATTTGAAGGTCAGTCTGCCGTTCGCACTTCTTTCTGTCTTCAGTACGTCTCTCAAAATGTCTGGCAATTATCTGCCGCTTTCTGTCTCAGGTAAACCTCCTGCCACTGACTTTGCCCAGGTTACACGAAGTTTCTGATCCACTCAGACAAGCTTAAATGGAATGGAATAATTCTGAATCCAATTATTCTTTCCAGTGCAAGGATGTAAACCGTTTATTATGCATAGTTTTTGAAACAGTTAGAGGGCCTTATGTTACAGCAAAAAAGGTGGTTCCATGTAATTGCCTGAATACTTTCTCTTTGTGTACAAGTCACCATTTTACTTTTTCTGTCCAGCATTAAATCGGGACACCAAGTTGTCTCATTCCCAATTAGTTAATGCTCCAACAGTTAGTTAATGATTCAGAAGTGTCAGTTTTCATTATTTTTTTCCCCTTTCCATTTCACAGAATGCTACGATTCATTCTCTCAAGTTGGCTACAGACATTCACTCCGTGTAAATCATGGCTAGTCAGCCATGTTTTTTCAACTCTTAAGTCTGTTAACTTGCAAAATTGCCTGTCTGTGGCAACCTCTTAGCGGCACACCATATTTAAAACTGCCTGTATTGAAACAGTCATTAAAAAAGGAGTGATTAATTGATTGAAAAGTTATCGTAAAGTGCTTGGTATTTCTGGTATTTTGATTCTAGAGATCCTGGACCAACTCTACCACAAGGTCCTGCCTGTACTGAAGGGACGCCTCAAGAAACAAGAGGCAGCCAAAGCCAAAATGAAATCTAAGGAGAGCATCTCCAGTTCAGAAGACGACTCCAGCTCCGAAGAGGACGACGACTGGTATTAGGCGGGGCCTTGCCCCTGCCCAACTTGGAATACCCGAAAACCCAACTTTGAATCTCTCCTTGGATTTCAAAGAATGAATCATGACAGTTAGTTCATCTTACTGTGGGGCCAGTTTCAGATGTTGTGTCTTTTACTTGTCAATCACATCTTTGGGATGACATGCAATCAGTTTTAGTGGGTGTCAAGAAAGGGGTGTTCCCTCTCCTTCCCCGCAGGAGAAAGTGAAAAATAACACCAAAAATATCAGAGATTCTGGGAATAAAAGTTTATTCTCTTCCCCAGAACAATTTCAGAGATTGAAATGATGATTTGAATAGTCAACAAAGTGGGTTTACTCTGGAGAAAACTTACTAGAACTGTTCACGTTCAGATTTTCATAAGACAAGATTTTGAGATTAAATACACTTCTTTTATCAAAACACTCATATAATTCAGTAAAACAGTCATAGAAGAATTCATCAAAATTGACCTTTGTTGTTTACAATGGACAACCTAGTAGAAATTTGAAGGTTAAGATTTGTCGTCTCAGATTTGCACGGTCCACATCCTTTTCATATTGGAACATATTTCACAATCTGCCCTGATACGGTTCTGCCGCTACTGGTCAATTACTTAAACCCGCTTTGTAAATTTAGTATTTGGAGACTTCGTAAGTCATGTTCAAGTTTATCTCTATAATGGTTTGATTCATATGCTTTATGTATGTAAATAAAATGCTTCAAAACAGTTGTTTTTTCCAAAAGACATCAATAAATAGACATTCAAAGAACTGGAAACAGATGAAGAAGCTGTCTCTTTATTTACTGCTGTTTGATAATGTTTAAGGCATGAAACTGTCAATCTTACAGTTTAGCTAAGATAGAAGAGTGAATCATGACATTCATATGACACACTAGACCCAGTCACGGTAGCAAACAGGGTTAAATTCAAGGGGCGTGTGCTCATTTTTCAGGTGGTAACTGCTGCTTGCAGTGTACTTTGGAGTAACTCCCCCCCCCCTTTGGGCAGGTCCTGTAATGGCTGATGCAGGATGACGGTCTAACAAATCCCCCCCCCACACACTCTGACAATCATTCCGCCCCTGTTACCTATCTCTTCCCCCCCCCCCGTTACACCAAGAGAGCTTTTGCATAACTGAAAGACTAAGTGCTCAGGGCTGTTCAAGCATGTCACATACAACTTGCTCAAGATATATAATTGCCACACAGAGAATTGACGGAGTGATATCACTGAGGGCAATCTCTAGGGGAAGGGCTCATTTAATTTTTGGAACTGCAGAAAACATCTCTTTTTTGCCAAGTGGAGTAACTGAGGGGCAGCACCCCTCCCCCAGCCTGAGGCTTGTGCCTCCCCACCCCGACTCAGAGATTAGACAAGGAAGAGTGTCTGGCCATTTTCCACCTTAGTCAGTGTTTTAGCTGTGACCGAAAACAATAAGTGCCCATCTCCAGAAAATGAGGGTCCCAGGTGCCGCTGCCAAAATGTACAGGTGCCCCGGCCACGAACACAAAACACACTGACACAATTTCTGCCAAGCTGGAAGGACAGCAGAATCATTGGCAAGTATTTCCTTTGCCCAAGTAATCTCAATCCAGTGTAAATTTTGATTACTTTTCGTTTTGAACAATGTCCTTCAAATGAAATATTTTGGGGTTTATTCTGTGAAAGCTGACACGTTCGTTTGATTTGCGCTCCCCACGACAACTTCAGGAGGATTCAGCTTACGTGAAGATTTTTGTCAATAGAGGGCGCTAGTTTTAAATGGCAGCTTCCACATTCACGTGCCCATACGAAATGTAATAGAATGCGAGACTCGAGACTTGTGAAGATTGCTTGAGTATTTGTTCGTTATTCAGTCAGCACGATTAGGCATTTGTAATAACCATGGCAGAAGACGACAGTGAGATGATGCTAAATCTGGTGTATCCAGAGAAAAAGACGGCAGTATGTAGAAAAGTGTACAACTTGAGTGATATTGATTCAGTAATTAGTGTCACCGATCCCCGATTCAGTGCAGTGCGCGCATCGTGCCTCGTGGTTGCCTAAATTTTATCGCACTCACGTAGTCTGGGGGTTAGGCAAGGGGCAACTCTCCCTTCACTTTTTTCACGGATTTGTATCTTTTCCCTTTTTTTGCTGCAACATGATAAAAATAACAGAAACCTTTATTTCGTTGATGTTATTGGTTGTTGTTAGAGTGTGGGAGACATTGGTGGCGGTTCCATATTTCACATTTGGGACTCAAAGGGGCAAAAATGATACTGGGGTCTACAGGGAAAATCTGAATTGACCAATCAGAGAGAGGAACCAAGACTCGGTGATGTCATCCTTACCGTGAGAATTGCATGACATAGGCTAAATGCCAGTAGTGTGATACTGTCATAAACCTATTACCACCTTCTCCATGAAAAACTTTCCAGAAGGCCTGTGCCAACACGGTCCAGTGTGGGTAAATTCTATGGCATCCTTTGAAAATGATTTGAGAGTCCTTCCCATCATGCCTTTTGCCGGGATGGAGAAACAGACGTATTGATCAAGTAACTCAAGAAGGCATTTCTTTCTTCTCTTTTTTTGGGGGGGGGTCATAATGAATCTGAAGTCCTCCATCCTTCACCGTTGGAGGACTGAGGACTGTTAGGGTTAAAGACTAACAACAGAGTGACTGCTGACTGAATCTCTGCCGTATCATACATATTCCATTCGAGGAGTTTTATTTCATTATTGCTGATCGCTTGAAGTACCTTAATGTAGCTTACTTTATAATATTTCACCTCTGTTGCCTTGCTAGAGCAATATTTTCATCTCAAATTTTACAATAAGTGAAATTTCATCAAGTTCTCAACATTCCTATTCATAAACCTTGAATTTACATACCTGCTTCAAAGTTTCAATGAAATTCAATTTTGGCCTGTTTTTGTAATTTGTTTTTGAAGAGTACAGTTGTGACAATTAACTCTTTTAAAATGCACTCAAAATAAAACAAGTTTCTTGAAAACTTATTGTTGGATGTGCAACTGGATGAAATGAGGATTTATCAGAGTTCATCAACTTGAAAGAAATTCTTATTTTCATGTTGGATTTTCCGAGATTTTTTCAGTTGTGCCACAATAGGGAATACTTGGTTTGATTTGTATCCAGTTTCTCTACGGTGCCATTTTTAAAATTAATTTTGGACTAAATTTCATTCCACTGAAATTGTTCACAGATATTCGACAGCATGTATTTATGAAGGTAATAGTACAGTATATAACTAAATGAAATTGAAGTTTTTCAATGAAGAAGTTGGGCAACACTGCATGTGGGAAGCCAAGTGAAATATCAAAGTACACAGAAAAACGCAATTGAATTAGTGACAGCCTCTGAGTTATACTGATTGCAGAGTGTACTCGTATTCGCTGGGATTGGTTGATTTGCACGATTGGTCATTTGCTCTGTGCAAGAGGTCAGTCCTGTAGAAAAATCTGAGACTTTATTTACCCGTTTCGAAAGAACCTTCCCTAACGGGGAATAGACAGAAATTTGATTGGCTAATGAATGGTGGAATTATCAACACGTTGCGCTGTTAGATCAACCTATCATGTAGATGGACAAATCTTGCACAGCACTAATGTTACTCCTTAACTCATGGCCCTTCATATTTGCTTTTCTTTTCAGGAAGGAGAGAAAGTGACTTCATCACAGAAATGTCAGGAAAAGGAGAGTCTAAAGCAAGAGACAAGATCCAGAGCTGCTTCTCGTCAGTCGGCCAGGCTGAAACATCCTGCTGCCACATCAAAGACTGAAAATGATGTGGGGAATTTTAGACCGGCCCAGAGAACAACCAAAGGTCAAGGTGCTATCACTGACAGGCCAAAGGTCACCGGACCACCGGGTCATGGGAAGGTCATCTCGTCACTGTTCAGGCACAATCCTGAGATTCCAACTGTGCATGTGTGAGTATTGTTCTTTGGCCAGAAATGCAGAATCTGTCACTGCTCTGTGAATTTTTATAAAATTTCCTCATAAAACTCTTGTTAAACCTGTTTTGGTCTATGTCTGAAAAGTTATGAAATAATTTGTACATTTGCATACATGTATGTGCCTGGTTTTTAAATTTGGTGCTGGTTCCTGACATCATCACAGCCCTATTTACAAGGACTGCATTTTAAGATACACTACAGAACAGAAGGATACAGAATCTGAAATGCAAAGTTCTGATAAAGCATTTTGGCTTAGTTTGGCTGTATTTGTATTAACCCTAACAGTCCCAAATCCTCCGATTTCAATATGATTTTACATAGACCCCAGTACTGTCCATCATTTGTCATTTGTGATTGATGTTTCTTTGCGGCAACAAAATTACTCAAAATCTAAAGAAGGGTGACAAAGAACAAACTTGATGAAATTTCAGCTCAGTGAATTGTGTTTATTCGGAGAAACACAGTATTTTACAGGTAGGATTTGATTTCAGATCAAAAGTTACAATCATTTTCTGAATTGCACCTGAATTCAGCATCCGGGACACGTTCTGATGATCAAGTTAATGCAGCTACACAATGTCTTGCACTGAACCTATGAATGATAATATCAAAGTGCACGTATGTATGTGTCTTGTCAGTGCTTCTCATGAACATTTTCCAAATATGCCTTTAGACACATTGTTGGAAATGGCCTTCTTTTATTGTTTTCTTCCAAATGACAGCTTGCCAGAAAGAGGAATTTCACAGGGAGTTTAGTCCTGTGAACACCAACAACAATTTCGTCAGTTATTTTTTGGATAACTGCAAATGATGGATGTACCTTAAACAAGAGCGAAATGTTCATGCATATTCATGTGAAACAAGTTGTAGCTAGAAGGGGTTGCATTGTCTCCTGCCTCCTTTCTGCTGTTATATCCCCCTTTCTAGCATGTGCACCAGTCCCTCCCAGTAACTTGATATGTTATATATTTGCAAAACAGTGCCAAAGTCCAGTCGGGCAAGGAGGCAGTTTTTTCCGGACGATCATTCCATGATTTGCCCCTACACCCTCACCTGGTAAGTCATAACCATTTTGAGAGAAAGGAGGTTGAATTTGTTTTCTGGTGACCAGTTTTCTGCCTGGAGCTCAAGTGGACAGTGGCCCATTCTTATGAATAAAAGAATGGAAAATATTCAGTGAAATGGATTTTATGTTGTATGTCGGACATAACTTTTTTCTTTGGGGATAAAATTGAAGGTTACACTTCCTGTTTCCCTGTTTTGTCAAATTAATTCCTGTTGCATAACAAGTTCTTGAAATTCAAATTAGTGGAACTTTGTGATAAAAAGTGACCTTGCTAAATAAAGTTACTAAGTCATCATAGCTATTTATATGACGCCTTACAAGTACACAGATTTTCGTATCATAAATACTTGTATCGTTTTCTTCAACCCACATATAATAATTCTAACTTCTTTGCTTGGAATCCTCTTTTGTAATGAAAAAGATTTTTTAATGCCACTTAAAAGAAGTAGTTGATGACCTTCACCTTTATCTAAAAGCCTTGAAAAAGTTTCCACTCGTGGTCGTGGTATCCCTCCAATTTGAGCAGTAAAATAATTTCCTCCCATTTCTTATGGTGGATTGTTCATGCAGATATCAACCTTGGAGAAGACACTGGAGTTTAGCCACATGACCACTGTCCAGCAGCAGGCAATTCCTACCATTCTGAGTGGCCGAGACACCCTGGTCAAATCCCAGACTGGTTCAGGTAAAAGAACAGGTCCATTATATTCTTTTAGCTTGTTTGCATGCAGGGAGGTAGACCAAAATTGTGCAAGACTGAACAAGACCTGGAACCCCAGATAAAGTGAATAGCTCACTCATACTGTGTCAGTGCTGGTTCAGCCAGGATTATTTTGGTAGGACTGTGGTCCGAATGCATGTTGGCAAGGTTTCATAAATTGGTGAAATAGGTGAGCCCGCAAACCAGGATTGTTCACCCATGAAATCTCGCCATTTTCCTTGCATTAATTAATTAAGGCAATCAACCAAAAGCTGCATGAATATGGACTTGAATATGAGAAATCCTGTCAAGAAATTTCCATTCTCTCCCCCCCAAAAAAAAACTTGCAGGGAAAACCCTCGCCTATGCTGTTCCAATTATCAACTCTCTTCGGGATCGTGACCCTAAAGTTCAAAGGTCAGATGGGCCTTATGCGATAGTTCTTGTCCCAACCAGGGAGGTAAGATTCATCCTATTTACCTCTTTATCATGCTGCATGGTAAAACTTCTGCATGATATAAATATCAATACCTTACTTTATATTACTGTAGTGACATTTTGACCTGTTACACCTGTCTTTTATTAACATCTTAAAAGTGATTTTTAATTCATTACATATCAAGGCATTATGTAACATTTTGTCACAGGGCCCTCATACTTTTTAATTTGTTTCTTGATTTCAGCTAGCTTTGCAAAGTTTTAACACACTTCAGAAAGTCCTGAAGGTATGTCAACATTCCTATATTGCCAGTAATTCCAACAAATTATTGTGGGAATATGCAGCACGCTAGTGTATTGATTTGTCAAACCTGATAGCCAAACTTAAGCCTAACCCTCCTCAATCCTTCACTTGTTGGAGGACTGAAGACTGTTAGGGTTAAAGATACTAAGTATTGTTGAGGACCACAAATGCAATTTGAGGCCAGCAGATTCTACAAAGGGGAGGTGTTTGCAAATAAATCTTGTGAAGAAACTTGTGACAAACCAAAAGGCACTATATTGGATCGAAATGGACCAGTTGAGCCCGACAAGTTCAGTCGTCAAATGGAGAAGACATTTTCATGAGGAATGAGTTGATGGGTTTCAGTCCAGTGTGAGCAAGCTTGTGAATATATTCCCTCAATGTCTCAGAAAGCAAAGAGCCCACGGCACTTTGTCACTCGCCGGTACATTGCCGAAAAGCAAACTAAATGGTGACCAGATCCCATAGCTTGAGTCTTAGGGCCAGGCATCTCCAGACCATTTCTTTTTCCAACTATTCTGTTTCAGTTTGAAAGAGCGGATGAAGCTCTTTTTAACATATGCCACTGACTGTTGAATTGTAATTATGCGGATGAAATTATTGATAGTTCCTAATGGCTTCCATTGTGCAAGATTTTCTTTAGGGTGTGTAGCTCGGGATTGACGCTGGCAATTTTGAGATTCATTTTTGTAAGGTTTGGTCACATCTTCCTGATGTAAAAATACTATGATTTGATATTAACTTGATATTTTAGCCAGTATGCTCTAGCTGTCATTGGGAGAGTCAGCCACATCCCATCAGGAAAAGTCTTTTTTCAAGTACTGTCAATCTAGCTGTTGGTTGGCAATAGCCTGATCTGGTGATTGCTTTCCCAGCCCTTTCAGTGGATAGTGCCAGGCTACCTGATGGGCGGGGAGAAGAAGAAAGCCGAGAAGGCGCGGCTGAGGCGTGGCATCAACATCCTGGTGGCCACGCCCGGTCGCCTCCTGGACCACCTACAGCACACGGAGACACTGAAGCTTGAGAGAGTGCAATGGCTGGTCATGGACGAAGCAGACAGGTATGATAAGATGGCTAAATTTAGCAATTAATTTAACCCTGACCCCCGAGGCTCTTTTACAAGGAACCATCCTGAATCCTCCAATTTTAAACATGAGAAAATTGCATTCAGCTCAAATCCTTCAAAATCCTCCAAAATTTCTTGAAAATGTCACTAGGAGGTATGCCTAACTGCCCAAATCCTTCAAAATCCTCCGGTAATTCCTGTCGTTATGTTGAGGCAGTGCGAATGGCACTCTTGAGCCGTGTAGTTGATTCCAAAGAAATATGGGGGTGAATATGTGCTTGACACAAACAACATAAGGTCTAATCCATGACTTCCATGCATGGCATCCTTCAAAATCAGCCATGCACTTTTGCCATACATCCTGAATCCTCCAAGTTCCTCCACTTTGCAGAAAAGGATTTTGGAGGGTTTGGGTGGGTTAGGGTGGTGCTTGGATTCTTCACAGTTGTTGTTTATCACCCAGTGCAGATATTTGTCACACTAGAGATGTTGGATTTTTGGGGGCACTGATGCCTTGTGGATGTTTTCATGCCAGTTGTATAAAGTAAAATAAAGACTTTGATGGTGACTGTATGATAAATCGCATATGCCGTTCTTTTATACCGGCTGTTTTGCCCAATAGAATAGTGCATCATTCATGTTGAATGTTTTTGTAAGGTGACCCTGATGTAATTCGAATGCGGGTTGGCCAGATATGTAGGAAAGCACGAAAAACTTGTTTGAATTTGACTCTCCTAATTTCTAATTTCTAGATCACACTGTGAATTATAAATGATGATGAGAAAACCTTCTGTTGAATCATGCATTAAATTTAGCAGGTGTTTAAAGCATGATTGTTTTTTGGGATGCAGATTTCATAATCGCCTGTCACTGGAAATTGGTGTTTGACTTCCTTTTAAAAGTTTTGTTCCCTTGAATCGTACTCGACATTTATGGTTGAACCCACCCCAGAGTTAAACTGCACCCTCACCATCAAACAGGAGAAAGTCTGGTGGGAAGTGTTCCAGCTGGGCTTGTTCACATGCCTGACGCACATGTGAAGACCTTAGGTTCACACAGAAATCAGTCATGTGTACTCAGCATGTCCTGTACCCAATGAGGACTCCCCACCAAAGGACCATCATTGCTTTGTAAAAACTCCCTCTCTTGTTCTCGCTCGGAACAGCTACTCCAACCAGCTCAGGTTTTTGTTAAACAGCATTTTAAAAACTTCATTTACTATCCTTTTTTTCAGGTTGCTTGATATGGGATATGATCGGGATGTGTCTCTCATTCTGAACAGTCTAAACGAGAAGTGCCTGCAGAGGCAGAACATCTTGCTTTCGGCCACGCTCACGGAGGGTGTGGAAAGACTAGCCGACGTGACCTTGAACGAGCCCGTCACAATCGACATCGCCAAAGAGTGTCTGGCAGATCAGGTCCTAGATCAAAACCCCTCTGCTAAGAGCAGTCTCAGAACCGTGGAAACTGACTCCAGTCAGATGAGGAAGGGAAGAAACGAGGGAGAGGTCGAATCTGTCGGGGACTTCACCACCCCAGAAGGCTTGCAGCAGCATTTTGTCATTGTCCCTAGCAAGTTGAGGCTTGTCACGCTGGCCGCCTTCATCTTGAGGAGAGCTCAGGTAGATTTGTGGACAAGGGGCAAATATGTCTTGCCCATATTGAAAATATTTACCCTTGCTTTACCATATCTTTCAATGCACGTTTCAACAGTCGATGGCCTGTTCCCTGTCCCTTCTCACTATGCTCCATCTTTAAGCTCATTTAGCTCCATAAGGACATGCAACTTGACATCTTCTTGTGGCAGGGTGCCTTGCCTGAAGACAGTCCACCGTCCCTCTTGCAAACAAAGACTTAAATCCATAATGCGAAGATCAACCCATGAATTCTTCCAAATTTAGACTGGATGCAAGGTCATGGGACCCCACAATGCTCAGCTGAAGTCATGAAGATAAATATCCAGCAGTCATTCTCTATGCTCTTGGCAACCAAAGTGATCAATCCAGTATTTATACATGAAAGCTTTGAATTTGACTACCAGATAGAGGTCCAACCAATGGCCCAATGCATTCTTTCATAGGAGCGAATGTAACATAACACCCCCTGTGCAGAGACTGCCATGTGGACCAAATGTCCTGGTATTGCAATGCATAATGAAAATTGATATGCACAAAACGAGAAACTTAATGATTATAAAGATGAACAAAGAAATTGACTGGAGCGGGATTTGAACTTGCGACCTCTGGAATACCGTACCAGTGCTGTACCAACCGAGCTATCCAGCCCTACGTTGGTTCGGTGGCCACTAGCCAGAAGCCATTAAACCTGAAACACCATGTAGCCTGGGATCACATCCCAATAACACGATACAACCTGGGAAGTGGTGAACAGGGATCACTCAAAGAGGATACGGCTTTTTTGAAGATATCTTATGAAAGAAACTATATAGGGAAATGGACTAGGTTTGTTCAGAAGCACCGTTATTTTTGGTCATATATTTTCTGGGATGTGGAAAGCATCGTGCCATTAATCAAAGGGTTCAGGTAAACAAAATGTTGTAATTGTCCTCTCAAAGCCTTTCGCTGTTTTTTTTCTGTCACTTTACACAGACCACGGGTGATTGCAAGATGTTAGTCTTCCTCTCCAGTCGTGATTCGGTGGAGTTTCATTACACCCTCTTGAAGGAGGGCATCAAGGCAATCATTGAGACTTTGAATCTCTTGGTGCTGAGACTACATGGAAACATGTCGCAAGAGGTTAACTGTTTAAAATTAGAGCTGTCATTACCCTTAAAAGGATGGGGGGGCTAAACTATTGAATTCAATTATTTTTGTCTTGTTTTATTCCGTTTATTATATTCTCTGTATCTCATCCCATGCAATCGATTTTTGTAAACTTGGTGACCAACAGAAATACAACATTTGTCCACACCAGTTCTCTGAGAAAAAGCTGGCTATGTATTGTCCCGTTGCACTTGATTTAGTATTCAAGGTCTTAAGAAATTTACACAGGTTTTATTATGTTGCTCCATCTTTTGTAAACAGGAACGAACGCAAGTGTTTCTGAAATTCCAAGAATCCAAATCGGGCATTCTCTTGTGCACAGTAAGTAGGCACATCAAGTCTGTGTTTCTTCAAATAGGAAGTTATCTGCAACGTAAAACTGACATGTGAAACAGCAGTGTCTTACAGTCCCTTTGCTGAATAGACCATTGAGTAACAGTTGTACAGTGAACCTCATTGATATGCAAATATAACAGTTATACCTGACATTGCTACCTGTTAGCGTGTACCGTGTGAACAATCATTGGGCATCTGTTATCAATCAGTGTCTGGGATGGGTTGCATGCATCTGAGGCAAAGTTCAGTCGTGGGCCATCAGTCAACTATTGGTGGATTTTGCCTGGTACCCGGGATGAATGTTGTGCATAGGATACCAGGCAAACTTGAACAGTTGTTGACAAATGGTCGCTGATCCAACCTGGCCAAATTCTAAGGAAGGCAAACACTTTCGCTGTGATCAGTGTGGAGCAGGACAAAAATACGTTTCCCTGTTCGTTTTAAATATTGTGCATAGGGTGGTCTGTTATGCTTCAGGTGCCAAAACCAACATTCAAGGAGCAAATAATTGACAAAACAGCTTTTCTATATCAGACATCTGAACACAATAGCTTCTTTAAGCAACAATCATGTTCTTTGCATCCTAGGGTCAACTGACGGCTGTTGACCAATCAACAGCCTTGTAATGTTTGTCACCTAGATTGCGCTACAGTTTCTAAAGTCATCTCTCATTCGCTGACTCTTGAGGTTACTTAAGTTCATCTAGGATTATTCAAACCGCAAAGAATTGCATTGGATAATATGTGCATAGTGACCTCCTAGTCCATGGTAAAGTTCGGCTATTTTTCTAGTTTTGCCATAATGTTTATCAGATGATAAACACAACATTCTAGTGTCCACTTGTCTGTCAAAACTGAATAAATGTACATACATTGACATACCTTTTGTAAAGAAAAAATTTGTGCCTACTTTTCATCTCTGTTGTTTATATTTCTTGTCAGGATGTGGCTGCTAGGGGGCTGGACTTGCCAAAGGTCAAGTGGATTGTTCAGGTAGGTCTTGGCAAATGTTTCAGCGCAGTTTTGACCCATAAATCAACAGCACGGCATTTATTTTATGTGAAATTGCAGTTTGAAGGACAGGATTTATAACGTGTCATCAACCATGCTCAATTGGGTCAATATTTGTCAATGCCTAACAAGGCTTATCGCAGGGGTACCTTTAAGGCTATGTGAATTTTCTTCAAGACAGGGAAGTAATTGAACATGATTTGATCACTGGCCACACTTTCCTCCCAACTTCAGTACAACACCCCAGGCAGTCCGGAGGACTACATCCACCGCGTTGGCCGGACAGCTCGCATCGGCAAGAAGGGTCAATCTCTCCTGTTCCTGACTCCGGCTGAGGTGGAGTACCTCAGCGTGCTTAGCCAACACAAAATCAAGTGAGTGATTTCTCCACAGTGTTGTTGTTTAGAAAAGCCTTTTCACAAATGAATGAAATAGTGATGAAGGACTGCGCGTAGCACAGCTTATACGAATAGGCTGTTGATTAATTTGATTCTTTGATAGACTTGTGATTGACTTGACTACATTATAGTCCTTCGTAAGCAAGAAGGGATTCCATCTTGTGAAATATGAAAATGGTAAGCGCATGGCACATGAAGGACTGTGGGCCTCAAGTAAATGCCTCCATAAAACCTTTATTAAGTTGAAACTCAGAAGAGTTGGTAAAATGATCACAATAGTAGCTTATATGCTCTTTTCAAATGTGAAAAGACAGAATGTTGGAGAGTGATGACTCGTGAAAAAGTTTTTCAAGTACAAGGGGGAGGGGCCCGTGCGGGCATTTCGAGTCAAGGGGATATTGATGGACACACTGCCCTGTTCATTTAACTGTAATGAAGTGTGACTTTGAGAAAAAAAAGAATTTTGTGTAGGATTATGTTGAGTAAATGAGAGTTTAGTGGTAGTGTTTTATTAGATTTGTTCCAAATAATTCAAACAATTTTTCAATATGGGCGATTCACAATAGCGCCCCACCAAGACTTTGTAACGCGTTGGCCAATCACAAAGCACGAAATCTGTCGACCCTTTGGTCGACAGATTTCGCGGCCTGTGATTGGCCAATGCATTGCAAACTCTTGGTGGCGCACTATTGTGAAGTGGCCGTATTAAAGGCAGGAAAGAATCTAATGTTCCAAATAATTTGGCAGTCATAGTTCCTTGCGTCTGGCCTCTGTTGGAATTTTAACCAGGGTCAGTGGACATGATAGTAAACATAACCATCCACCGTGACAGTATTTGGGCAAGAAACCATGCTGTGTGAGAACACTCAGTAAATAAATCAAGGAGTGAAGCATGCGCGCTGCAAACTAGACCCAACAGGCCAGGTCTCCCCAAGGCTAAATGGCATCAAAGTCCAAGCCTGCCAATCATCACTGAGACCCAGCACTGAAATGTATGGGCCTCCTTGTTTCACATGGGATGTGGATCTCGATCGGTCATCCCAACGCTGGTTCGCACTATCCATTAGGCTGGTTTTGGTGTCTGCAAACCAATGATGGATCACTGACTGTGATCCAGATCTGTGTGAAACAAGCGGGCCCCCAAATAAAACAAGTTCGGGTACAGGCGATTCACAGTGCAGTGCACCACCAAGAGATTGCCACGGAGAGGCCATTTTTCACAGGATATCATGGGGAACAGTTGACAAATTCTAGCCGCCCTGTGCCAAGGAGCGGGAATGGTTCTCAATGTTTTTTGTCCAGGAAGGGGGTCAGTAAATTAATTGAGATGGTGGTCTTTTGTGTTGCACGGTATGCCCCGATCTATCAAATTTCCTCTGGTTCCAGACTGACATTAACTTGTTTGCTAATTGCCGCCAGTCAGCTGTGTATTTGTTGACTAAACTTGGGAGGAGGCCTCTCTTTTGCAACCTCTTGGCAACGTACTGTATTGCGAATGGCCTGTATTGTCACCAACTTGGCAGTTTATCACTATTAGATCCAGCAGATATGTACATCTCATGCACTTTAAAGCGTTCTACAGGGTTAGGGTGAAAGGAAAGTTCTTTTGGGTCTCTTCTAACTGTGGATTGTAATGCAACACACCAAGACCCGATTATTGAATTATTCCCAATCACAGCATGCAGGGAATGGGCCACGACCACCTTCTCCAAACCCTCATGACCACAGATCTTCTGCAGGCAGAGAGCCAGCGCCACCAGCCAGTGCGGACAGCACAGGAGGCAGCCGGTGCCCTGCAACGGGTCTTTGAAGAGTTTGTCAACAGCAACAAGAGGCACACTGTGTTGGCCGTGAAAGGTGAGCTTGCCCACCTGAGAATATGTACCCATTTGAGAATTTGCTGTTGTACTGGTATGTAAGATAAGTTTTACCTTCAAAAGATGCAAATGTCTTAGAGTAAGTTGTGATACTAAAATTTTCAAAGGGGACAACAACGTTTATGTTTGCTTTGCTAAACTTTCAAAATTAGTCCATTTCATACTGTCCTTATTTGTATTGAAGTTTCTCTATTCTCAAATATCAAATGGCTCATAAAGTTTAAAAAATTTTGTAAATAACAATGAATACTTTGTAACTGGGTGTAAAGTTTCATTCGTCAGATTGAAGTTTTGAGACTTTGTGAACCCCCTAAAATTAAAGAACACAAATCTCCCCTCTCCCCCAAAAGCTGTTTAATTTACCGCCCAACTGATGCTGTTTTTATTACTCGATCCTGCATCTCTTGGGAAAAATTTGTGAAAACTTAATAAACAGGCTGTTTCTGTTTCACCCAAGACATTTGTAAGCCTTCAGATCAGAAGATAGTGACAATACCGCCATCTTTCTAAGTCACTATTGACAACGGATGAAAGTTGTACTTATGTGGAAGCAAATTACTAAACCAACTTTGAATTTGCTGAACCTCATCATTTTGTTTCAAGCATGATAAAATTTGAATCCAGATTGTTAAGAATTTTGTACGCGGTTTTCTAGCCTTCCAGTCCTTTGTGCGTGCCTACGCAACCTATCCCGCTTCGCTCAAACACATCTTCCACGTCAAAAAACTCCACCTGGGCCACACCGCCAAGAGTTTCGGTCTGCGAGAAGCGCCCTCGCATATCACGGCAGGACTAGGCAGGCAACAGCTCCAGGCAAGCCGAGGGACGAAAAGAAAAAGGTAAAGACAATCGTTCGTTTGGTCTGTCTGTCTGTCCTATGATTTTGGGAGGGTGCTCATCCTGAGGTGAAAGCCTTAACTTACGTTGTCAACGGCTAAATGTTTCTCTTGAATGCATCGTTGTCATGGCCTTTCATGTTGAATTATGTGGGACAGCATCTGACCACATAGCAGTTCTCAGACTATGGTAACAGTGTTTCCATTGTAGGCATCCATCAGGTCAGAAAGAAAAATGAACCATGCTTTATGTTTAGTAAAGTTCACTCATTGGTAAACTGTCCAATTTGTCCCTGACCATATGCAGATTTGTCAGTAGATGTAGCAATAACTACTGATTTACAGTAGACTTTATTCATCGTTGGCCCTATTGACATTGGCAGCCAGGTTAACTCTTCATGGGTTTAAAGTTGAGAGTAGAAATGAAAGCAATAAGTTGATATTTCATTACAAACTAGTATTTATCTACTCTAGTCTTATGAGTTAAATTCAAATTTGTTAACATCCAAAAATGCACCTTTGTGTTTTAGGCCAAGTTTTTGGAAAAATATTGAAAGGGAAGCTTGGAACGTACGCCAAGCATAAAACAGTCTGGTCCCATCCTAATCGACAGTTCGTAGTTTATGAAATAGATCCAGTGATTCAGGGAGTAGGTTCAAACAAGGCTTCCCCATAAATAAATGTAAGTTTATTGCTGACAGCTGTAATTTCTATTATGTCAGCTTTGAAGCAACCAACTTGACCTGGTGCACAGTAATCTGTCCCCTATTGAAAAGAGGTCAGCAGCGCACTGTGCCAGGTTCGTGAGCAAAAGAAAGTTATATAACACTGCTCAATCTGGGCTCTTGTTACAAGGCTGCAGTCCTGGCTGAAATACTCGGGTGTCAATAGATTTGTCTGTCAGACTATAATGGCCACCAGACAGTAATTCTTGTGCGTGTAAACGTCCATTAATTGAAATGATGAATTTTTGAAGAATTTTGAAAACTGAAAATCTTGAAAAATTCCCGATTATGTGCACTGCATTTTTCAAACCACCCGGCAGCAAGTGGTTGATCTTACAGTTTTTGATCCCTGTCCTCTATGCAATGTAGTTGGGACCCTTTTCCAAAGAAATAAAATAAAGTTTACCAACTTAGTGGCAACACTCATTTACTTCCATAAATTGAGTTCAATTATAAAGTAAATCATGGTTTCATACATTCTTACCTTAAATTTCTTACATTACAATGTACACATTTAAGCTGAGGGCTCAGTAAGAAAAGTGAAATCCCACCGACAAAACCTTTGATATTTTCAAACTGCAAATTGATACAGGCCTCTCCCATTTTGCCATCTATTTGTATGGACATCCAAAATTTGCAGGAACATCATCACCCTAAATTTGACGTCAAATTTTACCTCAAAAAATACATGTTCCCTCTTCACCTTTTATCAAGGTTGTGTTTTCTTGTGGTATGAAGTAGTAGTGTGCATTATTTTGGTGTTTTGACAGCTAAGTCAGATATTTTATGGTCATTTTGATAGAAAGATGTTTTGTTAATTGTGTACCGATGGCTGGCCATAGTTTATCAGCCATAGGCAGGCAAACCAATGACAGCAATTTTAAGAGCAGACCCTGCGCTTGCATTTATATTGGGGAATGTGACAACATTTTAGATTTTTTTTTTTCATGTGTTTAATGGGATGAATGCTGTCCTTTAATTAGAGTTTTCTGATTTCTCGCTGTCTCACAACGCACTGTTTGCTCGGTCAGTTCAAGCCCTATGATGTGGACTCTAATCCGTTGAGCAGAAGTACCCTTGCCCCATTGGCTGAAAAAGAGCCACAGTGGTGGGGAGTGTTCATTTTATTGGTAACCACATGATCATAACGCATGCATTTCTCAGTCATCTGTACACCAGCAAAGTGCAGTTCCTACTGAAGGTGCCTCCATTGCTGGGAATGTTGCGCCCTCTCTTGGTCCCGCTCAGGGCAGGTGGACCAACTGATAGCACATGACAGCACGGTTTGTTTACACTGGCACTGAGGTATTGGTGGGACACGATTCGTCAAGCCCCCATAGGAAAGTGCACTTGTAAACAAAGCATGACATCATTAGGTCTGTTGATGTTCATTTTCCTGGATTCATGTGTTGAAGTTTTTGTCAACAGAGGGCAGCATATATATCCCTATCATGCCAGGCATATTAGTTTTAAAGTAGAGCACTTTTTACCAAACGTTGAGCAGGTACAATGTACACGTATCATATTGTAACTATAGTAGAATGCAGTAACTTTTGCAAAGGGGTTCTGCGTGTTTTTGTTTTTTTTTCTGTGATATATTTTTAGTTACTGTTGTTGAATTGTCCTTTCATTGGTATACTGGAGTGCATGCAAGTTGCTTGATACGCCATCATTTATGGAAGGCTTAGTCTGGGTTCATTACATTGCAACCGATGTCTAGGGTATCAAGTCATCCTGCCATAGGTTCAGAAAAAGGAAAGATGTCCTTAGGCATCATGTTTGTATAAAAAATATCACAGACTATAAACTGCAGATGACCAGCATGTTGTCTATTTTAGTGTTGGTAGCGGCCAGCGTAACCGGTGCATGCAGTCACAATGGAGATTGTCTGTTATACGTACATCATTTCCAGAAAAATGTGAGGGTAAAAAAAAAGCCGCACCACTTTTGGATCTAGTTCCTGACCAGAAACCAGAGACTTGCTTTTTGTGTAATTTTTTCCAGCAATGGTTTCACTTTTTCATAGTAATTGCAATTTGGAATCATACACATGTAAAGTACGTCTTTGAGGTAATGCACAAACATTGGACCGCTGAATTAATTGTCCCCAGTGCTTCAATTAAATATTCATATGTACATCTTTCCGCAGGTTCCCTTTTTTTTCTCTAGTTTGACAATAGATATGCAGTCTTGTGTGAGAAATGGGGGGCTATTTGCTGTGGGTTTTTCGGCTTTTCGATGAAGTTCCAATTGGTGAACTCGTGATGTTCCCAGCGGCACTTGCATTGTTTGCCAGTGCACGGAGTTCATTACAGTGAATTATCGCATTCAGTAATTATTCATTGGCACCTCATTGGACGGAATTATGTGAACGAGAACAGCGTCACGCGTAATGTGCCACGCCGAGTGTACATACATTTTTTAGGTGTTCTTCCTGCATTATACATACGTATGCATTTGCCATTTTACGCTTTAATGAGACCTGTATATAATTCTCGTTAATTCTGGACCATTTGCTGAGGTAATCGTCATAGATAATTCAGAATACATTAATATAGTATTTTTTTGGGGGGGTGGTCTTTTTTCCCACCAGCAGGTTTGAGAAGCTCAAGCCATCATTGCCTTGATGTGTCATTAGGGGACAATCACAAATTTGTCTTTTCGTTGTCTTTGAGTTGAATGATAACCTTTCAAACCAACTTGACTGACGAGCCTATTTCCGATGTCTCATTCCATGTTTCATTTCTCAAGAAAAATTGTTCATTTCCTGTTGTCTTCATTAGGCTTTTGTCTTCCTTCATATTTCAGTCGATTGATTTATTGATTTATCATACAACGGTGGCTCAAAAGGGGAAGTGACAACAGATTTTTTTCTCCTGTGGAGTGTGAAATTTGACCACGACCATTCACCCTAACTTATACTTGCTCACATTTTCTGTTTTTCACAGGGTCGATTCAATTCAAATGCTTCAGCATTCGAATATTCAATCTGCCATTTGATCAACTATTCGATATAAATATGATTACATGTATTAGATTCCCAAATTTCCCTTATGGTATGATGAAAATAATAAAATAGCTCCTGAAAACAACGATTGTGGACTGGAAAACAATTACCATTACAATGAGCTGTAAGTGTGTAAAGGTTCTTGACACTCAACAAGTTGAGAATTAAGCATTTTGTGAAGACAGGAGTCATTTTTTTTTCCTAAGTTGTCAGAAAACGTTGGGTAAAGGCCATAGAAATAGGGTCAGTCTGTAAGTTGGAGAAGTGATTTTCTGGCCTGTCCTATGGGGCAGCCTGTCAGTAAGCTGCTTTGAAAGTTCTTGTAACACCATAAAACAAGGTTTTAGAATGCAGTTTTGTAATACCAGGATGCACGTCACATACAGTCCCAATTTAATGACCTTTCATATTAATAAATGGGTTATAACCGGGCATTCACAGCGTATGAATTTATTGCCTGGAGTGTGTGTGGCTTGCCAGCCAACTGGAATGCTATCTGAGCCATTGCAAATGGTTCTCGCCAACAGGGCACCAGACTGTCATTCGGTTGTTAAATGATAATTCAGTTTGGCTATGACTACATGCTTGATTTCTTGTCTGTTTTTTTCCTTTATCTGTCGTGTGTAGTTTTGAGTTTCTACATGTTGTAAGTTTCAGAGTAGCTTTATCTCGGGTTCTTTCCATGAAAATAGAGGCACATTTTGTGACAGTTGAACACATTTTTAGAGGGATAGAAGGGTTTCCTTCAAATGAAATGGTGGTTAGTACTTCTTATATTCAGCTGTTTCAGAAGGTTTCAGAGCATTTTGAAGTTAATCAGCATGATCATCGAGAAAGACAGGTTTCATATGTAACAAACCACATGACGTTCATCATTATGGCCAAAATATCTAACTTTGGGGGGCGATCCATTCTTTCTGTGCAAGGGCAAACTTGTGTAAAACAAAATTGTATTATTCTTCCCACTTTGGTGTTAAGCACACACAAATGTAAAAATGTTGAACTATGAAATGTCACAATGAGCATTGAGCGTGGGTACGAAATTCAAGACTTCACTCAAAATGTCTTTGCGTGTTGTTAGCCCACCAACATCTGCTTGTGATTGGTCACACTATTTTGCACACTGTTATTAAACGTCCTTTCTCATCTGTTTTTCGGCTTTTGTGCGCACAATATCAGTTAACTGTCTCCCCAATGCCTAGTAAACTAATCATGCCCGTAATTTCCCTCATGCACGCAACATTTTCTCCTGATTGCTAAAACAAGTTGGC